CAAGGCTACATCCCTTTTACTGTACTCCACCTCCTAAACATCCACAGCACCTTCCAGGATCACCCCACCCCCACCCCTTCAGGACCAAACATTTAGATGAGGACCTGTGGAGGAAACACCAGGCCATAGCAGGGCAACAGGAGCAGGAGTGTATACCTGCCTGCACCGCAGGGTGGGATGTTGAAACCAGGCACACTTCGGAAAATGGTCTGAAGAGATGACTGAGATAGGACAGCTGGGCAATGAGGGAACTTATCGAAGACCTTGACTTTTTTTTTCAATACAAAGTTAAATTTTATCTGTGAGATAACTGAGAATTCATGTGGTACTGGAAATGGAGACTTGTTTTGTGCTCCTGTCTCTAAATTACAGCGTGGGCACACTTCCCAGCACCTTCTCCACACCCAGAGGAAAAATAACCCATGCAACACAGAAACACCACATCTGAGACACGGCGAGAAGTCACTCAGTTTAAACCCAGCCCTTTTCTTCATTGGTGGTTTTAGGAAATGTGCCTCCACACCTCCTCATCGTTATTTGAATTCAGAATTAGAGTGGGTGGGAAGGATAAAAAAAAAAAAAAGTGGTGACGAGTCCCAAAATACCAAACCTCCGTGTGGTTACCTGAAAAACCCTGTTCTTAATGCTAAGCAAAAGTGAGTCTGGCAGGTGGGTTGCATGTGGAGATTAGAGGGGAGGGGCTGGGGCGGCTGTGGGTGTTTATTATTCAGGAGCATTGTAGCTCTCCCACTCCCCTGCCATCCTCTCTCTCTCTCTCTCTCTCTCTCTCTCTCTCTCTCTCTCTCTCGCTCTTACTTACCTCCAGCTGGTCCTACTCATACCTGGTCCTGGTTTGCGACATACCTACTGAGTGTTCAAACTTCTCACTCACTGTGCCCTGACCACTCCCTTCGCACCCTCGTCCCTTTCACAGACCCTAATAATGGCTTTAGACTTGGCTAACACTTTCGTTTCTCTTATCTCCGACCTACCCTCTACATTCTGTGACGACAGAAATTATGCTATTCTGTATTGCACCTCCTTCCTCGAGGCGCCTGTTGGGAGCTACAGAAATGGCGAGTGGGACCGAGAAACTGAATTTTAAATAGAATTGAATTCAAACCTGTGCAATCATCTGAGTACAGCAGTTACCACACTGGACAATGCAGTTCTAAAATATGGATCTTAAGCTGATTACAGTAACAGAGGTAGGGGATGGAAAGTCTGCGGCAGAAGTTGGTTCTGGAAGGCAAGAGAAGCCATGAGAGTAACTGGTGTCAATAGGAGGGGGAACGTAGCACAAATAGCTACAGTGAAAAGTAGGTGAGAGCCAGGTGTGGTGGCAGCCCACATCTTTAACTCCAGCACTTGGAGGTAAAGGCAGGCATAGCTCTGAATCTCCGATTTCGAGGCCAGTCTAGTCTACAGGGTTCCATGACAGCCAGGGCTACACAGAAAAAAAAATTGCTTGTCTCAAAAAAACAGCAACAAAGAAGTTTGATGAAAATGCAGAGAAAGAACACAAAAAGATAATCCTAAACTGTAAGAAAGGAATTAGCATGAACTATATGGTAAGACATTGCTTTAATTAGCTAATGCAAATCTTTTTCTCCGATACCACATTGCTTTCAAAGCACTCATTTCTTGTATCGTAATGTCCAGAGCCAGGAGTATGGTGTTGAATGGCATTTGTAGCCCAATCTTTTGCTTTCACCACTAATGTCCTCTGTCCAACTACATTTACAGGCCAATGCCGCGGAGCCTTCCCTGCTTCTCCTAAGCAAAACCCAGTTTTAGATCTCCCAGGTATCAACTCTGCTCTTTGCTCTGATGAAAATGCCCACCTTTTGTTTCTTTCCTTTCAAATGTTCTCTATTTCAAGGCCTAATAATAAAATGCTAACCTCATCCCCATCGGGGAAACCATCGTCTTCTCCTTGATCTTAGATGAGCCTTGTGGCATCTCTCAGCCTAGTTTTCCTCATCTATAAAATGGGAATGATAGCATTTCCTCTTGGGGGAGGATTAAGTATTGTAATACTTAATTAAGTATTGTAATACTTTTAGATTCTACTACAGAGAAAGATGAGATAAAACCAGCTGCTATTGCCCCCACCCCAACAGCTATCAATGGGATGTTAGAAATGTGTCCAAAGGGAACTGTCTCTCTCCTAGAGACTGAATTTCTTAACAGCAAGGATTGGTTTTATGGAGCGCTCTCCCTGGAGACACAATGTAGCCACTGGACAGATGCCTCTAATAAATGAGCCAATGACTAAATAGAATAAGCTCTGAGTACGCCCCCCCCCCTGGGGAGACAAGGTTTCTTTGTGTAGCCTTGGCTGTCCTAGAGCTAGCTCTGTGGACCAGGCTGGCCTCTTACAGAGATCCGCCTGCCTCTGCCACCAGAGTTCTGGGACTAAAGCCTTGCATCCCCCCTGCCCTCTAACAACTTTGTCTTGTAAAAATGTATTAAAAATTGGGGCCAGGTGTGGTGGTGCATGGTAGGGCAGTCTGGTCTACATGGTAAGTTCCAGGACAGCCAGGGCTATGTAGAGAGCCCCTGTCTGAAAAACCAACAACTGTGATGGTTAGTAATGGTGGCACACACCTTAAATCCCAGCGCAGGAGGCCGAGGCAGGCAAATCTCTGTGAGTTCAAGGCCAGCCTCATTTATAAATCAAGTCCCATGCCAACCAGGGCTGCTATACAGAGAAAACTCATCTCAAAGAAACCATAAAAAAACAAAAAACAAAAAAATGAAACATTACATTTACAGTTTAGTCTTACTTTGCAAAAAGCAAACTATGCCCCTAACATGTAACCTCGAACTAGTCCAGGCTGGACTCTACCAACCCACTTCCCTTTTGTCCCAGATGTTGAAGGCCATCTTTAAAATGATTGGTGATGCAGTCGGGTGGTGGTGCACACACCTTTAATCCCCCGCACTCGGGAGGCAGAGGCACGCGGATCTCTGTGAGTTCGAGGCCAGCCTGGTCTACAAGAGCTAGTTCCAGGACAGGCTCCAAAGCTACAGTGAAACCTTGTCTCGAAAAACAAACAAAAACAAAACCAAACAAAAAGACTGATGATGCAAAATTCACTGTTTTCGGAAGACAATAGTGAGTCACAAGACTTACTGTTGTTTCTGTTTTTGTAATCAAACTTGCTCCCTCCGCTCAAAATGATGACGAAGAGAACGACAAGACACCCATGTTAAAACTAGCCGCTGACTAAACATAGACAGAACTCATATGATCTTGTGGGTTTTGCCTTCATAAGCCTTGGGCTGACATGACTAGAGGCTGCCTCTTGGGAGAGTACTCAGGTGCAGTCCTAGCCCCACACTGGATGCTAGTACCTAAATAAAAAACCTCTACGTATTAAAACGTATTCATGGTCAAGGTGAATCTCTGAGTGACTCCTGACACAACAAAAACCTGGCACTTTCCAGAAAAGTTAAGCAGTCTAAGCAGCTTTTTTGACTTCTGCATCCTTTAAATGCCAAAGGAATTGGAATTTCCCCAGGAATCCCGTGCTGGGAAAAGGAAAAGACACCATCCAGAGGGGCCATTTGTCTCCGGGAAAGAGACTACATACAGTTGCAACAATGTGTCATACCATATATACTATACTATACTATACTATACTATACTATACTATACTATACTATACTATATTATACTATACTATACTATACTATACGGTGAGACTGAAGCCCAGACAATGAGGTGGAGTGCTTAGTTTTTCATATCTTTGGCTCTGGACCCAAAGACAGATTAGGGGATTCAGCGGACCTCTATTCATATTCTCTCTCTCTCTCTCTCTCTCTCTCTCTCTCAATTTCCACTGCTAATTTGACTCTTTTAGTTGGTTTGTTGAGGATGAGTGACCTAACCTGCCTTGGAGCTAAGGTCGTGACCCTTAAGCGAGGATGACACTCCTACAGTTTGTGTGCTTGGACTACCAGCGCCAACATTTTTGCCACTTTTTTTCCTTTCCTTTTCTTGTCCCCAGGGGTCCTCTGTCCCCTCTCCTTCCCTATGGGGGCAAAGCTTTCATCACTGTTACCAAGGCAACAGAGGGGGATGCCTCATTCTTCAGAGCTCTGCATGTATAAGTATATCTTAGCCTTTGTCCACTGAGCTGGCTCAGTTCTTTGTAAGGGATCTTCTACACAAAACTTTATTCGTTATTTTACCTTATTTAAACCTATCTACACACACACACACACACACACACACACACACACACGTATATATCTAAATGTCTTCGCCTGGAAATGGCATTTACACTGACGTGTCAATTTTCTTGAAAGCCCCAGACATCAGTTCTGGAGAGCAAATGTGAAAAATCTCCTCTGCAAGTGCGCGCTTCCGAAGTGCGGGTCAATTTTACAGCACGCACTACAGCATTCATAATGGATTTCCCTTTTAAAAGCACAGGAGACCAAAATAAACCTGACAAAAGGGCAGCTGTAGAGTTTTAACATGTGGAAAACTCCACAGGCGGCACTTACATAACGGGAAAGAAACAAGATAAATATTTCACACGGCCAGATGAACTTCCAAATGACGACGGAAAAAGTCAAGAACCCAAGACACACCTTAACTCTTCAGGGGGGCGGGAGGGGCACCTGAACTGAGCCGATAAAATCTGGGCCCTGACTTGCAGCACGAATAAAAGCTGGTTTTTCTCCTCCTATCTAGAGTCCGAGGCAAAACTCACGAACCAATACTTCGGAGCGCTTTCCCAACGGTTTTGTCTGCTAGGTAGAAAATTTCCAAATATCTCCCACCCTAGGCAAAACACTGAAAACGAAGTTTTCTACACAAGAGAAGAAACGTGGCGAGATAGATCGAGCCACCCCCCACCCCCAACAACACACACACACACACACAACGGTGCCCATCCCACCCGGCTGCGCTCTCCCGCCCCCATCTCCTCGCCCTGGGGACAGCTGGCAGCCCAGCGCGGGACCAGACACAAAGAGGATCAGCCTGGGGGCGGGGGCCGACCTGCAGGACTCTCCCTCCAGCACCGGCCTTCAGCCACCCCTCGCTTAGGACCCTGTGGACACCACGCCCCGCGTCCACGCCCTCTCCTCAAGCACCCCAACCCCTAAAAAGAAGGAAACGTCCCAGACCCGGCGTCCCAGGGCCAGAAGACCTGCCACAGGGCAGCCAGTGGAGACTACCCGACCACAGAGACTGACATCGCGACAGGACCCGCCCCTCTGCCTCCACCTCTCCCAGACCTCTGCTGCTCCGCCGCCCCGCCAAGTGCTGGGGGCCGGCCCGCCTGTCACGCTCCAGCAGGGGGACCCTCGGCTACGCAGTCAGCTGGTGACCGCGTAGATGGCGAGGAGCCCCCAAGGCCTCCTGATGCTGCTGCTGCTGCACTACTTAATGGTCGCCCTGGATTGTAAGTCTCTGGGTTACCTCAACCCCGCCACCCTCCTACCCACTCTCGAGTCCCGCTATACCAGCCTTCTGGATCTTTGCCGGCAAGGGACGCTCAGGGCTGGGGATCTGCCACGGGGCACCAGGTTTTGCGCTCTGGGAGCACAAAGGGTAATCCGGATACAGAAAGGCTCTGGGCGGGGAGACTGAAGTCTTGAGTGTCTTGTAAATAGTGTCAGGTTTTGCCAGTTCAAGATGAAGAAGAAAATTAAGGGTCCCTACTAGAAGATTCTCATCTTGTAAAGTTGGGGCAAGTTTTCAAAGACACAAGGACGTGATCAGAATGCAAAACTCATAAAGTATTCAAGATGCAAAAAGCCCAAGAAAGATGGCATCCGGGATTGGCGCAGGGCACTCTTAAGTACCAGCGGCCAAGGGGTCAGTGGCGGAGTCCCGATTGTGCAGGGAAAGGTGCTTGTGAAACACTTTAGGGGCGGGGTCCGCAAAGTTCGAGGCTGCTGAGCCCCAATAGCTTTTAGCCTCTCCGCCTGCAAAATCTAGTTAGAGAAGTCTTGTCTGGCCACTCTAGCCAGCTGCCCTGTCCTCAGGGGACATCCGGCCAGCAGGACGATTGTTAGAAAGGCGCAGGGGATGAATGAGCGAGCTGGCAGCTGGTGTAGCCGGGAGATGTCCCAAAGCCAGTTTCTCTGGATGCTTTTGAAATGGATTTGCACGAATAGCGGGCTCATGTGATTTGAAATTTGATTTTGTTTTCTTCGCGTTAACTTTTTAGGAAAATGGAGAAAATAAGGATACATTTTAAGCGACGAAGTCTTGGTGTTATTTATTCATTTTTTTCTACTTTTTGTTAGTTTTTTTTAATACCCCACATGTTTCCTTTTGTTTTGTTTTGTTTCCTTTGAGGGGGGAAGACATGTGTTCTTGTTGACCTTCAAGTTCTAATCACAGTACTTACAATAAATTATTTTGCCTGATGAATGTCTTAACGCTGCCAAACGCTTTTTCTCAAACTCCCTTAACCCCAGCCCAAAGTGGTGGGAGCTCACAAAGCGGTGTGTCAGTCAGGGTAGGGTGCCTGCTGTCTCAGGGAAGAGACATGGCAAACCAGGAAGCTGAAGATTCACAGTGAGACCTTATGCATTTTGAAGCATCAGCTGGTATCCAAGGGAACACACGGGGGTTGAGAGTTAACGTACTCACAATGAAAACGAACAAGGAAGCTGGAATCTGGAGGAAGTTAACAAAACCCCGCTGGCAAAGTTGTGTGTTCCTCTGAGCTCTTAAGTCTCACTTTAACAGGAGTGTGAACGATGGCGTAAAATTGTTCGTTAAAAAAACAGAAATAGTTTTTCCTCTGTTATTCCCGTTCAGTCACCAAAGTAGAAACAATAGGCGCTGTTTGAAGTTGTCAAGAACTCAGAAGCAAGCAAAGGCTTACTCAATGGGCAGAGTCTTCTCTTTGACTTCTCAGTTCTTTGTGGACTCTACTAATCTGAATACTTGTAAGGAATGTTTGGGAACCTTTTCCACACTATTTCCATACAGAAAGTCTGGTATTTCATGGGTGTTTCTTTCCTTTTAATAGGTTTAAAACTTTGAAAAATTCAAATTTAAAAGAACTACATTAGTATAGAAAGTTCCCACCTATTCTGTACCCAGTTGCTACCATTGTTGTCCTATTATAATACCGTCTGGAACACTCTGCTCAGGTTTTTCTCATTTCCGCAAGTGTCCTCTTCTGTTCTGGTATTCCTCGTTGTGCTTAATAATCATGTCTCTTTACATTCCTCTTGACTGGGGCAGTATTTCAGACACCTCTTGTTTTGTTTGTTTGTTTTGTTTTGTTACCTTGACAGGTATTGGTGTATTGGGGTGCTGGCCAAGTATTCTGTTAAATTTCCTTCAACAGGTATATCTCAAATGCTTCCTTCGTGGTTAGATGAGGTTATAGGACTTTTGGAGGAAGAGCACACAGGCAAGTGTCTTTTCCATCCAATCATAACCCAGGGAGCATGTTGACGGGTCTGTCACCACTAAGACTAACCTTCATTGCCTGGTGGAGGCAGTGTGTGTTCTCTACCTGCTGTCCTCAGCCCCATACTATTCTTTTTAGAGGGAGGCCAGTATTTGTAACTCACGCTCAAGAAAGCAGGCTAGGGTGGTGATACCAGACTACAGTCTCAGCACCCAGACACCCAGACGGGAGGCAGGAGGCTCATTCAAGGCCATAAAAGCTTCAAGGCCAGCCTGTGATTACAACGTGACTATCTCCAAAAACAATCCAGAAATAAGGTTGGGGTGGAGCTCAGAGGTAGAAAAAAGGGATTGGAAATAAGCACTTGTAGAACATGAACATATACACACATATGAACATATCCGTACACGCACATGTACACACACAGGAAGGAGAGTGGATTTTACTTCCTTCAGGGTGATATTTCTTCACACATTACTTGGGATTTGTATCCATCACAGATATGTCTTCTTGAATTTATTTGCACGCTTATTTCATCACTTATTTTAATATCTCCATGAGCTTATTAACAAGTATGTAAATAAGATAGATTTAGTTGATAATACAATAGCATTTTTTAAATAACTAGAGCATTTCTTATCTGTAATTGTCTAATATTTCTCTCCTTTGTCCCAATCAACCATGTATAATTATAATATCATGCTTATCAATTCTTTCTACTATCAGTCAATTGCTACTATACTTCACAGTAATCTAGGGAACTTTTGTTATGACTTTTTAAAGCATGAAATCAACATCATTTATTAATGTATGGACATTCATGTTTTTATTTAGCTGATGTATTAGTTACATCAGCTACCGTAACAAAGCATCTAGGATAATCATAGAAGAAAAATCAAAGGTTTGTTTTGCCTACCAGTTTCAGAGGTTTCGATCTATGCCTGGCTTCTGCTTTCGCTGCAGTGTTGACATAATACATGGGGAACAAGAGAAACAGAGTTCTGCCCAAGAAAGAATCAAAGGAGAGGAAAGAGGAAGGTTCCTGTTTCCCAAGGCCACACCACCCATGATCGAACATTCAGGAAGCCTCCTCTCCTGAAGGTTTACCACTTCCCAGTATTGCCACAGGCCAAGACCAAGTCTTTAGAGAATGTGTATCCAAACTCTAAACTGTTAGACTATCTTTCCTTCTCCAGTGGGACAGAATGCCTTTGACCTTTGGCTGCCATTCTTATGCCCATTACTGAACAAAGTACCTGGTTCATCGTTCATGTGAGCATGCATCTGTTGACTAGATGATGCCTTAGTCCATTCAGACTGCTATGACAAAATACCATATACTGGTTAGTTTATAAAGAAATGTTTTTCTCTCACACACAAGTACAGAGCTGAGATGTCTACAAATAAGGCAAGAGTATTTCCAGTGTCTGATGAGGGCCCAGTGTTTGGTTCATATGTGTTCCTCGTGGCATCCTCATGTCGTAGGAAGGGCAGGGAAGCTCTCTGGGGAGCTGTTTTATAATCTCCTCTGCAAAGGCTCCCTCTCTGACCTAATGCCCTTCCAACAGTTTCTTGTCCTAATGCCATCTATCATGTTGGCAATCAGGTTTCCAAAAATGATTCTGGTAGACACCAGTGTGAAGACCATAGATTGGGATGGAGATGAGGTTTGGAAGATAGACATAATATATGTGTGTGTATGCACATAATATATATATGTATATATATATATATACAAAGTGAATAGAGTAAATTAATGATCATACTATAATCATGAAGCACCAACTTCGTGCTGAGTGAGCAGAGTGGCATATGCTTCTGTAAAGCGATAGGCTGTTAGTTCTAAACACAGGAGGAATGGAATGGGTGTTCAGCGTTGGGAATGGGCCTCTCGTGAGTATTGGGATCTCCTGGAGAGCACTTCCTGCCACTTAACAGTCTGATTGCAGCTGAGTCTTCAGCTGTGCCCTGGAACCCTAGCCAGCCATAGCCTGAGCCTGCAGTCTGTCCTAATGTGATCAGGGCTATGGTAAGAGAGGTCTGGATATGACCTAGACTCCAGGGGACCAGTGACAGGAAACTTCTGCCAGCTGTAAACATTGTCAAGAACAAAACATCATGATCGACTGGATGAAGAGAATGGTTTGAAACTGGTACAGTTTCAATTACCTAAAAAGCATAAAAGCCAGAATGGGAGTTTGCTGGTGGATCTGACAACCATTTAAACCTTTGTCAGATAATACATTTCAAAAAGTCTCAAACAAATGCTTCAGCCTTACAGAGAACATTGAGTTTTCCTTGGCCAAGAATGCTATTTATCCTTTCATCTGTGCATAAGGAATGGAGCCCACGGGAGACTGTGGATGTGGACCACCCACGACTTCCTTTGCACTGGATTTTCCCCTAGGGACTTGTCAGTGGGCAATAAGCAAGAACTGACATCTTTCCCCTCCCCCCGCAAATCAAAGACCACCAGGGTTCTGTGCAGGTTGTCATATCAGATACCTGTGTTTGTGTGTATGTCTGTGTATATATCTGTCTGTCTGACTCATCACATGGTGTCAGTGGTAAATTTCTGAGCCCATTCTTCAGAACTTGTAGAGGAAGGTGAGGGTGGATTCAGAGAAGAGGAATTATGGCTGGGTCAAGTGTTTCCTTTGGGAAAGCTAGGAAAGAAAATCTTAAAACTGAGCACTGCTTTCTCGGAAGGCCTTGCTGTGTCGTAGAGGACTCAGAAGAATCACCCAAATGATGTGTAGTCTATTGCTGTGAAAACAAATGGCCATACCAGTGCAATACCAATTCATTATGTTAATGCTCTGGAAGTCTGAAACAGACAGCACTGGAATAAAACCAAGGTGTCAACCAACATAAGACCAAGGTATCAACCAGCAAGAATCCTTCTAGGGGGTCCCAGTGGAAAACCTGTTTCTCAGCCTTGTCCAGCTAGTAACACAAGACAGGGCCCATCCCTCTACCTTCAAAGCCAGCAGCAATGCCAAGATGCTGCTGCCTCTGTGACTCTC